TCTCTCCAGGTATTTACAAACAATAGGTATGGATTTGATTAAGTCCCAAGAATTGGTTGATGGTTCTTTAGTACAATTGAAAAAATTACAAACAAATATGCAAAATGTAAGTAAAAAAAAAGAACTGATCATTTTATTGAACTAGTGARTAGTAAATTTGAAGAATGTGATGTAGATGTTTTACCTAATTGAAATAAAGTTTCCCGAAGTCAGAAGTCGGTGTAAGAAAAAAAWGTATGATGAAAAATCCTCAGATACACCTATTCTAAATGCTGAAAAAAAGTTTGAGGTTCAGGTTTACAATGTTATATTAGACAATACAATTTCAAGTATGGAAAAAAAGTTTTCATCTAATAAAGCACTATAATATACAGATCTATCCTGTTTATCGCCAAATTATTTTGAAGACATAATAAATGATAAATTGCCTTCTAATGCATTAGTTGAGTTGTGTAAAGTGTTAAAGAATTTTGATGATTTGATAACAATTGAAAGATTAAGGAATGAACTTTTAAGTTTTGCAGAAAATTGGAAACATTTAAAAGTCTTTACCTGAAGAATATATAATTAATGAAGACATACATCTAGATACTGATGACGATAACAATGATGGTGATGTTGACAATATTTTAAACAATACAGAAAATATGATAAGTTCAAAAATGTGTAAATCATRTATGGGTTGCTCTGTTTGTTGCTACAATGTCCTACTCAAGTATAATTTATATAGTAATGCTTACTCAAATCTTGCTTTAGCCTACAAATATCTTCTTACACTACCATGTACTCAGGTAACACTAATAAATTATTTGTTTTAAATACATGCAGTGAATAGTGATATAGGTATAATAATTAAGTATGTCTTATTTTTCAGGTGGCATGTGAAAGATCATTTTCGATTCTAAAATACATTAAATCTCGCCTGAGAAACACTATAACAGAATCGAAATTGGAGGCCTTCATGCTGATGAGTGTAGAGAAACAAATTTTATTTGAGATTTATAATGATGATATTATTGATATTATTAAAAATCACAGTAAATTATTAAGTTCTAAACTATCCTACTAAAATATTTTATGAAATATTAAAATTTAAAATATAGATATAAAAAGTAAAGAATGTTTAATTTAATACTTTATCCTACTCCTAAGCGTTATTAGTACAATACCTATGTGTTATTTTACTTAATGTAAATATTAAATACTAATACAGGTAAAAGTAAGTAAATAATACATTATATTCTCAAGTATATATTTACTAAATAATTGATAATCTTAAGTTATTTTCTGAGACAATTGAAGATATGCAAAGGATGCTTCTGTTTTAAAATAAAACTGGTATATTTGAGTTTTTATATTTTGTGATCACCAAAACAC